TAAATTTTATCAAAAAATTTACAGAAAATCAAACGAAATCACTGTCACTAATTTTGAATGTTGAGATATTAATCAAATTAAATTACTTAACTATTAGCAAAACGGAAATGCAAATTTTGAATAATAATAACTAATCTACTAACTATGTTTATGTAATGAAGATTTCTTATGTTAAAAAACTCCTTCCCACTACAATGAAATTCTGGTGAAATGAGATGAGATAAATGTTTTTAATATGTATTATGCCAAATAGAAGCAATTTGAATTCTCTATCCTGATACAGTGCATAGAAAATCATTGGTTAATCTTAGGTTTAGTCCCTAAATCTGTGGCTAGGCTAGAAGGATATTGGCTCCTACTTCAGAGCTCCCACTTCCCTTCACCTGAAGGCTAACTCTCGTTTTAGTTTTCTAATACTAAGACCAAATTGGAGATTTTAGTCTGTTACCTTAAATATTCTCTAACTTTACACTCAATAAAGAATATTTCCCTATTTATTTGCACTTATTTCATGAACGAATTTCTTCTTCAAGAAATCAAATATGATCCTCACTCTGTTGTAGAACTCATACTCTATTTCCCGGATCATATGTTTCACAACATATTTTAACAAATTAATTGGCCAGCCTGAAAAGTAAATTAAGTTTAGAGTTAAAAAATCATCACAAGTTATTTTATATTTTAATTATGGCACATTCATTTTATCTCTTCATTTCACCATATCTCAGAGTAAAAGTAAAGATAGAGAGAACTACTCAGACTTCATGAGAAAGATATGACAAAACACAAATTTCATATATAAAAGAAAATTCATACAACACTAAATAAACAAACTTATCTGAAACTAATTCTCAAAGCAAATCCTTTGTAGTCTTTCCTTAGAAATGCAGGAAGAAGAATTCTCTCATTTTTCTCCTTCTCCAATACTCTTAGAGAAAGTTTCACACTAAATCTCACCACAAAAACTCTAAACTATGAAAGCAAAATCACTAATTGACTCCAACATGGTAGTGGAATGGAATGATGTGAAGCGAATAATGAACGTATAGAAGTGAAAAATGTAGATAAACTCATTTTCTAATGAAATTCGGCCCTAAATAGAGCCCAAGGTCGGTTCTCCAAGAACCGGCGCCTCCAAAAACTTTTCAAAAAGTCATCCAAGTACATCAAACCTTCTAGAAATGGGGCCTGCACCGCCTTTGGCGTCGTCGGCGCTGGTCTGGAGTTAAATTGTTCTGCATCGTCGGCGCTAACATCGGCGCTGCATGCATCGTCAGCGCTGCCCTCGGTGCTGAGCATTTCTTCAAAACTGTCATTTTGACTCCAAATTTCATCCTTTTTGCTTTCTTTTTGCTTTAAGCCCTAAAAATCAACAACCTGCAAGAAAACATCAAAATACATTCTATTAAAATGCAATATCATCAAAAATGAGTACAAAATATGGGTCTAAAAATGCATATATTTTCAGTGTATCACATAGCTACATCGGCCTGCAGCGTAATTACGCCAGGCATAGGCGTAACTATGCCAACACCAGTTGAAGTCATGTTTTGGCAACTTCTTGCATGGCAAATTAAGTAGGAGATATATAAGAAGATGATTTGGGATGCCCTAACGAGTGACAGCAATTGGGAGGCTTCTTCTAGTAGGAATAAGGGTCTTTCTTCTTGCCCTAGGTGCTCTTTCCTCTTCCCTTGCGGAGGAAACTTCAAGGGTTCTTTTTATTTTGGGTTTTAAAAGATTGTGCATGAGAGAGAGGTTAATTGTTGTGTGTGTAAGACATTGGGAAGCTTGTCATTATAAGTTAAGAAGTTGGTGTAATGCTTAAGGCACATGGCTTGGTTCTAATTTTGCACTTTCCTGCATCTGTAACTTCAAATCTTTTCAATGAAATTCTCTATAATGTAAGAATGGGATTTTTTTATTGCTTTTACCGTGAGTTTTCTTCCCTAGACGTCTGCCGTGTCTTTCATTTTTACATGTTGATGTGATAATCTTGTGATCATCATTTACTTTTAATTTGAGCAGCTAGGTCAATAAAACTTCTTGTGATCTAGAATTTTGAACTGTTGCCCAATGAATAAATTAATGCATTAAATTCTAGTGGAATAGATATTGTTATTAAAAATTACAACCGAGATAGAGGACGCGAGGAACTCTGAGAAAATGCTGCATAGTTAAGTCCCTCTTAACTGTAATATATTCTTTAAATTTTCTTATGACCTAGAAATAGGCTAAGGAGGATTGTGTCTACAGTTGCCAACTATCACACAAGGGAACTTATAAGAAAACATACAGAGAACATTATACAGGTGTCATAGAAGCATGAGCCTCATCACCTTTGAATTACTCAAAGTTGTTCCCTATTTTTTTTGTGGCTTCCTTCCTTGTAAATTGTTTTGTTTACTGCTTCTTATACTAGTAGATTTTCATTCATGCACTTAGAGCATTTCAAACTAGATTTAGTGGTTTAACACACTAGAATTTTCTCTATTGTTAACATTTTGACAACTATTCACATGAGATCAATATATGGACTCTTTATCTATATATTATTTGATCAACAAGTATAGTTATAAGATTGACTGGCCTGTCTCATAGCCAATTTCGAGCATAAATTGATTCTCTTCAATTGTGCCATGTTCGGTAAAATAGATTATCCCCTTGGTTGTGCAATCTGATTCAATATGATGAAACTTGGGGCACTTCAAACACTTCCTGGTTGTGATAAATTTGGGAATGTTGATTGGTTCCACATGTTCTCCATTTTGAACTAGTGTTTCCTCAGACAGGGTCGACTTGAATGTTTCACTGAGTGTAGTCTGACTATAACAAATTGGGGTTAAACCTAGTCTGTAAGATATGTCAGTCCCCAAATGATATTTTCTCTCTACTTTTGAAACTGAAGTATGAACATCCTATCTCTAATAAACTCCTAGGTACCAGCATTGTATCTCTCATTTTATTTTTGATCAGGTCATAATTTTACTTTTCCCATCTTACAGTCGAAGAATATTCAAGTTATCAAACCAAAAAGATGCACACTTCTTTAACTTACAATTAGTTAGTTTCACCATTCCATCTGGTAGGATATTCTGGTACTCAAAGACACATTCAACTGTCCAAAATCACTCGATGAACTCATCGGGATCCATATGGTTGTCAAACTATGACAAATCTATTTTTACGTCAAATCTTGGATTCTCTAATATTTCATGCTAAGCATTCGGGGTGGTGGTTCTTTATCTATGAAATCTACCTGGTGGAAGGGATTCTCTTTATTTTTTTTATCTGGCAACTCACTGTTGTGGCTACAAGTGACCTTACAAGATTGCCCCCTCTCAAAGGCGATAAAACTCTTTTGTAATTGGAGGATTTCCCATCACAAATCCTCTATAAAAAATTCTCAGATATCTCTTTGCAGATTTCTCATATATGGCATTGTGACATTTCCTCCCAAACAAATTTCTGACAAGTTTCTCTTCAGTGACGTGGTTGGGGTTTGGGTTTAGGTAGGTGGAAGAGGGTTTATAGGGATGATGTGAAAGAAAATTTTTTTGGTGGCTGGTTTGAAAAATGAGCAAAAGGAAGAATTTTTGTGAGCTAAGATTTGGTATTAATGGAAGCAAGAAACCCTAGGATAACATTAGGGTTAAGCTAGCTCTGATACCAAATAATACTGAAGTTAACCAAACAGCATTAGAAAAACCGAATTCCATTAAGGAAATCATATGGGAAATTACAACAAATATACGAGAATCTGAAATTGCAAATTGCAACAACTGACAACACAAACTCAAGTTAGGGGGTAGATCCAGAGGTGGCGGAGGTGGTGGTATTCGGCAAGGGTTGGGAAGGTGGCGTGGTGGTGGAAAAGACGTTTGGCTAAAAGAAAACAGCAAGGTGGTTGTCTCCCCAGAGTCAGGAATCAAGCGAACAGCAGGGAGCAAAGTAGGATTGTTCGGGGTTATGGCAGCATAGATGGAGGGCTGAAATGGTTGCAGCAGAAAAAAGGAAGGGTTGGGCAGCAGCAATAGCGAAGGTGGGGGGCAAGAATAGCAATGACAGCAAGGAGAAAGGGCTGGATAAAGGAAAAATCTACAGGAAAACAACAAAAGAGTTGTTGTCGGGATGGGCATGCGGCAAGGAGGCGTGGCAGCTAATCGATAGGGACAAGAAAGGGTATAGAGAAAATACACACCAATTAGACACTAAGATATAGTCGAAGAACCACATGAAACCCTAGGATATAGCCCTTAAAGAAAAAAAAGAGATATCGGCGGCTGTCCCAATACAAAATACGAAAAATTAAACCTAAGATATCACAAAAGCAAACATATAATAATAGAATAACTAAGAGTGGCCCAAGAGAACCAAACAACTACAGAGCATCAAAAAAGTTTGGACTGGCTCTATCCAGGAACGAAAAACTAGTGCCACTGATATTCACAGGAAAAAAATCACGTGCAGAACGCAATTCCACCTCTGCTTTGAATGCCCCACGTCAGTGCGGGAGGTACGACCAGGTCACATTCAAACCTTAATAACTTTAACAAAAAGACGATAATGTCTAAAAAGGCAAATGACCATGTTACCCATGACAATTGACAAGATGAAAAATAAGAACCATGATAAAAATATAAACATGAGATAAAAATAACTAACCATGTGTCATTGAAAATCATTACATTGATATAAGAACATAATGACTAATTAAACATTACTAAATCAACACGAAAAAGGAACCAAAGGTGATACTGAAATTAGGCACCTTGAACTACATCAGGATGTAATTATTAATATGAAGCATAAAGAATCAAAAGTAGAAGATAGAAATCATCCCATGCAATAATGGGAATGAACATGAAAAAGTACAAAAAAAAATGGAAACAATTATGCTGACTATTGATACGAAAGCAAGTTAGTTTTCCATGAATTTCAACAAAAGATAGTAAATAATATAAAATGTTAAATGTTTGAACTATCGGTTCAATACAAACCAGTCCTGAAGTTTTGTTTAGAACTAGAAACCTCTCCCAATTGTTATCTATTGATCTCTTGCAACTCTCAATGTCCCTCCAATAAGCCAGATCATTACAACCAACAAGTTCCCAGCTCAGGCACAAAGATGATGAATTTGCAAAAACCTTTTTCGTAATGTGTAGACCAACAGCAGCTATGCGTATGGTACATCCATAGGCCACTATAATAGGAGTAGAGCGAACATGACCTGTACCACGATCAGCGTTCGCAGCAGTCTCTATAACATCAAGAGTATTTTCTGTTCCAATAATAAAGCAGTTTGGAATTAAAGTTTAAAAAGAAAACAATTAGTAAAATTGATCAACTGATAAATCAAGTTCGGTAGAAGTGCTATGTTGTTTATTTTCTCTTTCAATAACTAGAGTATATTCTACAGTCCAAGGATGCAAGATAATGAAAGGCATTATATCCCATACCAGGTTCATTAGCAACAAGTATGATAGAAGAAGGAAAGCTACAGATTACAGACAATTCCAATTTTGCTATGGTTGCTATAGGATGGCTAACACCCACAAGGTTTCCCCGTGAAAACATAAGTTTCTGTACAGCAAAAGCAAAGTATTAGAAAGTAACAAATCTTATTTTAAGAGATGCACTTTAGTAAAGGTAAACAGGAAACTCCTGATACATATAGGTACATACAAACTTCCCAACAGATAGGCATAGGGCTGTGTACACTTGGCTCCCATTGAAGAATGCCCGATGCACTTGAACGCCATTTGTTACTGATAGATCATGTTCACCAGTAACTTCAACTTTTTCAACATACTCAACATTTAGATGCCATCTTTCAGGTCCTCCACATAAATGGATATCCATTGCAGAGCCAGGGGCAAGATACAACTCATCCAAAGCAGTAGAGTATGAATGCTTGATTCCATTAGTTATTTCAGACATATCAATCGAGTAGCCTCCAAATCTATTTCCATTTCCTGCTTGGTAAGCAATAAGTGGAGAAAATGCGGCTATAGGAAAAGCAGTTTTTAAGATGAAAGGCTCATCCGTGGAATGGAAAGGAGAATGTAAGTCAGTGGATAAGGTTGCATGTAACACAGCCCGACCAGTACCATGAGCAAATAAACAAGTCCATGCACAAGGCTGACTATAGGATTGTTTTGAGTTCTCTGTGAGATGGAGCATGTTGGCTTCACAAATCTTCTCAGTTGTGCTCAGAACTCTGAAAGTTTCACTGTCAGAAAATACACTCCACTTTATGAAAGAGTTGAAAGAATCACATTGATAGAAGTAGTTCCCTGAAGTCGAGGAAATTAGATTGTCAATTAAATTTATTAAATAGTATTGAAATCAAAAAAACATTCAATGACAAACTATAAACCATCAGATGTCTTTAAGGTCACAGCAGCTTTGAGTTCGCACCTCCACCGGCCCCCTCTACAGGGTAGATGGGAAGAATAACAATAACAGAAGGTAGAGTAACAACCAAAACAACCTACACCAAATAAAAGTTGATGAATAATTAGTAAATCAAGGGAGATGCGCAATTCCATAACTTCGCAAATACAAGTTTTTGACAAGCCATTGCATAATTAAGCTATAGAAAAATAGCTAAACTCTTCAAAATCAGATATTTAACATGACATTGAAAAGCAGGAGAAGCCCAAACTAGGTTCAGTTTATCGAACTCAAGCTAGAATTTTAAAACAATATCAAGCTAGAAATTTAAAACATCAATCATTATTTATAGTTTCATGTATTTGATGTTGAATTTTTAACCTTTGGTTGATATTATTGAAGTCAATTCATTGAAGTTGAAGCTTAAGTTGAATTCTTATAGGCTTGGAAATGCCCAAAGGCACCCTTTGACCCTAGAGATTTGGGTCTTCTATTTGGTCCTTCTTTGGGCATGTTGCACTCTATTAAATTACTTGGATAATTCTATCTTTGATTCATAAAGAATACATTGGTTATGATATTCATTTTGAACAAGAGGTAGGGTTTTATCATTTAACAAAACGAGAGCAAAAAATAACAAATTCAACTAAAATTGAAATCAAATAAAAACAAACACTTTAAAACTCAAAAAAATTTTAAAAAAATCAAAATTAAAATTAAATGGAAAACAAATTCACCAAAATTTTTACTGAAACCCAAAATAACAATAAAAATTTCAAAATTAACCAATCAAATGAAAATGAAAATAAAAATTTGAAAAATCATCAAAATATCAACATCATTTCAAAAATAAGATAAAATTCAATAATAATCACAAAAATAATAAAAGTTTGTAAAATAATGAAAATCAAGATTTCAATTAAAATAAATTCAATAATAATGAAATTAAAGTCAAATTAATTTAAAAAAAACAAAATTACACAAAAATTTCAAATTACACAAAAATTTCAAAAAAAAAAAATAGCCAACGACCAATTTCACATAATAACTCATTAATAAACTTTAAAAAAAAGATAATAAATTCAAAATAAATAATAAAATAAAATTTCCACACCTCTCACTTCATTTTAAAATCCACCCAAATCTACTTCGCATTCCACCTCACTCACATAAAATTCTTCACAAATATCCAAAATCACTACACTAATCACCCATATTTTCAAAATAAAACTAATTTCATCAGAATTTTTACTCACACACACACTCTTCCACCCACCAAGCAAGCTCAAAACAAAACCACTCAATTAAAGCCCTGACATTGGTTATTTGATTACTTCAAATTTCACCCAAATTAAGCTTCAAAACCACCTGCCAACCTTAACTAAATCCAAGTAAATCCATGACAAATCCACTTCTAATCCAAGCCAAAGTCCATTTGATTCAAGCCAAGCAAACTTAGCAATTTCCAGCCACTATCCAAACCACCTTGGCTCACCTTTAAACAACTCCTCTGAACTTAGAATAAGCCTAAGTGGGCCATATTCAAGCCAAAATCAAGCCAAGATTAAGCCATCGCAAGCCATTCCCAAGCCAACCAAGAATCAATTAAAGTGCACCAATTATTGGCATAACCAATTCAACACATTATCTAATCTCACTGGCTCATGCCACCAACCTCCCCAACTGATTTAACAGACCAAGGTGTGCACCCAAGCTAGCCTAATCACTTTGAATCTTCCACGGAAGCTACACTCCACTCAAAGCACACATGTCTCCCACTGGTGGCACACCAAATTTGACCATCCAAGGACCAATTCTTATTGGCCAGCCTTTTTTTTTACCGTGCCACATCCTCAGGCCATCAATTATTGGTCTAACTAACCTGCCTAGAGCACAACCCAAACCCAAAACCTATAAATACCCCTTCTCAAATTGGATTGATGCACTCCCCATTTCTTTTAGTAAAGCTCTGCCAAATTCATTCCCAAACCCTTAGCCTAGCCTCCTAATCACTTCCCCATCAATCCTAATCCAAACCTCCATTGATTAGCCATTTATTTCACTAAGCCAAGACAGGAACAAGTCCGATGTCGTCCCCCATCAATCCTAACCCAAACCTCCATTGATGATGTGAATCACAGTTTTCTCACGGACAGCTTGCATTCACCATCCCCTTGGGCCATTGAAACCATGTCGTCCATTTAATTTTAATTGGAACTGAGGGTGGAAATCAAGCCATATATAGAAACCACAGCGTTAACCATATTGGATCAAAGGCTAATGCGGCATCTAATGATTGGAGGCAACTAGAAACACCACGGAAAGAAACAGTGGCGCTAAGCAGAACTGGTGGACACGTAGGACCACACTATTTAAAAAGGAAATTAACTTATTTATGAGCTAATTAAATTTAAAAATTAAAACAAACTCTAAAAACTTATAAAAATAAATAAATCAAAATAATAAAAAAAACACTATGAACTCAGTAAAACACAAGAAATAAAATAAAATTAAAAAAATGGTCAATAATATGTTTCTAATTAAATAACAACTACTCGAACATTTAAAATTCATTAAAAATCAAAATTTAAAAAAATTGAGCTCACTTGTAGTCTCTGACTATATTTATCCCCCATAAATTTCTTAGGGTCGGAAACCAACATTTAATAAAGAAATGACAATTATTTATGAAATTAGCAATTAATTTGAAAATAAATAAAATAAATAAATAAATAACCAAGAAAACATAAAACTCTTTTGAATTTCAAGAAAACAATTAAATCAGAGAATTCATACAATAAAATGATAGTTTTATTCATTTGAAATCAATAAACCTCTTTAGGGAAGAGAGGGAAATTTTGTAAATGTGTAATTTGCATTTTGATCCTTACATTTCGAATTCATATTAAAAATAGATAATTACACTTAAAATTTTGACAATATGATCAATTAAGTATTTGAAATGAATTCTTGAATTGGGTTTTCATCTGTCAAATTGAAATGCAAGTAAAGGTAAATTTCCAAATATTTAAAATGTTGAAGAGTTGTTTCGTATAAATCCTTGAATGACTTTCAAAAGATAAAAATAATTGGATAATCATTCAATTTATTGCCTTAAGCCTTCCTTGAAGTTTGGTGAAATCTGAAACTGAAATTAATAAAGATTTAACTGAAATTGGAATAAATTTAAAAAATTATAAATCTACCCTAATGAATAATTTGAAATTTTCGAAACCTTAAAATTTGAAAATTCTGATTAAAAGCTCATTTAAAAAAACAAAACAATAAAAATATAGTTAAATCTATAATTAGGAAAGTGACGGAAGTTTAATTTTTAATTTTCTCAAAATTATAAATATACTATTCTCAACTTTTAAATCTTCACTTTGAACATTTGAATATTAAAACTTGTACAATCTAAATTCAAGTGATTTTTAATGAACAAAACAGTAAAAATCCAAAAAACCTACAATTAGAAAAAGAAATGAAATTTATATTTGCAATTTTTCCAAAACTACAAAAATACCCTTCTCTGCTTTTAAATTTTCAAATTAAAATTTTTGAACATTAAAACTTCTGGAACTTGATGTTAATTGATTAATACTCAATCAAATAGTAATAACTTCATAAGTTTTGGAGGTTTAAAACTGAATAGAGGCATATTTATAATATTCCCAAAATTTACAAACACGCTCCTACTACTTTTAAACCGTAAAAATAAACTTCTCGGCATTAAAATCAATAAAACTTGATTTACAATCATCAATAAGAAGTTAAAAACAATTGAATAATAAACTCATGTATTTAAAAGTGATAATTGGCATGCTTGTAAGTCTTTCAAAAATTACAAATAAAGTTTTTTTTATTATTAAACCTAACAAATCAAACATGGAACTTAAAAATTTCAACCTACTAAATAAAATAACTCACTAAAAAAAATATAAAGATAAAAGCCACTCTCGCTTCGAAATAAAATAGTTTATATCAAAAATGATAAATATACAAATATACTCTTATGTATTGAAAATCTCATAACTTCTTCAAGAAAACCCCAAATTGAATAAAAATTTGACCAATAAATCAAGTGAACAAAAAAAAATCAAGATATGCAAAACTATTCTTCATTAAATCATTTTTAATATACTCTTATGTATTGAAAATCCCATAACTTCTTCAATAAAACCCCAAATTGAATAAAAATTTGACCAATAAATCAAGTGAACAAAAAAAAATCAAGATATGCAAAACTATTCTTCATTAAATCATTTTTAATAGATTTAAAATAATAAACTCATTCACTAAATGTAATAATTCACAAAAATTCAAAATGAACATAAAATGAATTGAAAAGTTTAGAAGATGTTTAGAAACACATTCCAAACATCTCTGTAAAATTTCAAAGATTTTAGAGGTCATTTAAGTTTATTATGAATTTTTAACCAAAAATACCCTGAACTTTAAAAATCATTAAGAATAAAACCAATTTAAATCATTAAAATTCATAAAAGAATAAAAAATTCCAAAATTTTGCATATCTAGTTTTCTAAAGTCTATAACACTTTTCTAAGTGGTTTATAACATCTTATAAGCATATATAAGTAATTAAATCGAATAATAAAATAAATTCAGATAAAAATACCAAAAATTCCTAGAAATCTAGAAATCATAACAAATCAGAATAAAATTTATCTTTTTGTTATATTTGAACAGATTAATAAAATTTGCAATTTCAATAATAAGGCCTAGTTGGGCGCTCATCACTTTTATGCACTCGCTATCTATAGAATCATTTAGGACGCTAAGTCTATTTTTAGGATTAGGCCTAAGTGTGGTCGTCTTGTTTTATTGTGTTTTTTGTGTTGTGATTGTTTGATTTGCTCATTAAAAACGTATGATTATGGTGTATTTTTGTCGTTGGACTGAACATTTAGGACGAATAAATAGTCATTTTTATTATGAAATTTTCACTGCATGTTATAATTTGCTAACATGGTTTTGCAAGGCTATTATAGTAAGCTTGAGATATACTAACTCTATTTTGCAGAGCATTATAGTAAACCTAGGTTGTTGTAGTAAACATAGAATTACTTTCTTACA